TAAAACTAGGACCGTTTTTGTTTCGGCCCCTCAGGCCGAAACGCTACTAAGATCAGTTTGCAAACCCATAATTTTTTGTCTCCTCTGTCAATCATCTTACAGTTCAGCGAATCAGATTCCTCGTAATCAGCATTAGCCAATCACATATCGAGAATGAACTTTCTGTTTCGTAACTCATYAGCAATAKAGCCTTGTTGAACATATATTTGAAAAGTKGATAATTTTTACTATTCTCCATACCCAACTATTTTCAGCCTTCAATAATTGCAATTTAAAAGCAACAATATTAATATGTCATATGTTAGCATTTCTATTACTCATTGATAACTTCATCTTTAAGTTTCACCACCTCTATCAGACGATGAGCTAAAATCCTGTCAAGAATCTGCAATGTTACTGCAAAGGTTTGATATTGTTAATTTTCATGAATCAAACAAACTCTATATTCTAAACTTCAAACTCAATAGTAAATTGTTCTTTTTTCACCAAACAAATATATTCTCAGGAGAGCATTTCCATTTTTTCTGTTACCTCTAACTGTACGTTGGAACATTCCTCATGGCAGTTTGAATTTTGTATCGTTGCTACAAGAGACTAACGACTTGTACTCAAGGYTAAATTGGACATAACAGTAACTAAAATTCATTTATATTTCATTTCACAGRTGTCCACTACTTTTTGATCTGGACTTGATCGTTGTTGCACAGCAYTTCCATAGGGTTGGTCTCCATGCCTATGCACTTGCTTGTCTTGTTCTTGTTCCTGTCCATGACAAACAAAGGCAAAAAATAAAGGTAAATTTTGCCGTTGTATTTTTAACTGAGWACAGTTTTTGGAGTACTGCATGTTGAGCAGTGCAAACTGTTCTAAAATTCTTCAAGGTAAGCTTGATGCACCAAGTCGACTTGAATAATATACAGGCTGTTRCATGACTCTCTTCTAACGAATCTTTACTTGTATCTATTTTACAATGATTATTGATTTACGCGTTGAAGTGCCATATCATTAGTACTAAGAATAATATTGTCTGTATACAGGAATTGCTGGACACCAAGTGCGCTGTTGTCATTCTTGACCAGCTGAAAAAACAGTGTGWTGAGGCAAAAATGCTTGGCCATGTGAAAACGGTAAACTGACRTTATRWTCAAAGATGTATTCCTTKCACATTTCTATGTCTTTGCAAGGATGCAACAGATTGCTGTTGTTTTTGATGTCTGCTATTGTCATCATTATATCATTTGTGATTTTAATGCTTTCTTTAAGATATTTTCATGCTCTTAATCGTTTAAAAAWATATAATATTTTGCCTTCCACGTAAGTTATATAATTTGTATTGTTTGACAATTTTGTAGTTACAAGAGGAAGTTTATCAATACATTGAAGACAATCAAGAATATGAAGTAAGTTTGGTTTCACTGCTATAAAACTTCAATGGGATTTGAATCTATGAATTTTTGAAAACCCAAAAAGAAGGAACGCTATCGTCCATTACCAATAGGACTTCAGATAGATATGAAATTTAAGGGTCATAGATATACTTTATTACTTGAAGGGGAGTACCATTTCATGGCTATTTGAAATACCATGAATTGTGGCGGCCATTAATTCAAAGGAGTGAAGTAAATGAGCCATGATTTTACGATTCTTTTGCGGTCTAAGCAGGACCAAAACACTCTTTCAACTCCTAGAATGGACAGTTTGTAAAGGCAGGTTTACAAGGCAGCGCGATGGTCTCTCGATAATCGCCACTTTGCTATCGCGCAACTCAAGTCGCTCGTGTAAACAGCCTTGCGGTTGTTGCAGCTAAATTTCAAGCATGGAGTTCGAAACTCCGACAAGGGAGGGTCGCGCGACAATCGCGCTGCAAAAATTGCAAGTGTAAACCGGCCTTTAAGGGAACCAAACGAATAAGGTGTTCAAATGATGAATGGACCGTGAAAAACGTCTGGGCTGTTGTAAAAACATCGGATTTGTCGATGGAAATATTTCATGGACCATGAAAAACATCGAGACTGTTGTAGGAGATATTCATGGCTAATGAAAAACATCGAGACTGTTGAAAGAAATATGTGAATCTTAAGAGGAATTTCATGAAGTATAATTTTTCAGGGACTGTAATTAGAATGAATTTTTTTACAGGTTTTGTTGAGCACTGTACACTTTGATAAGATGGTGGCTTATCTTATTAACACTGACCAACTTGAAGGTCTGCTTATGAAGACAATTAAAGCAAAGAGGTGAAGATGATGCACTCGACATGATATGCAACACACTCGCAGAATATCTGACTGGATAAAAGTGCTTTATGAATATTGTCATAAAATATGACTGTACAAGTGATCTTCATTCAATAGTATTTGATTTATTTTCAGGTTGTCTAATGCCCAGAGTCTTGTGCATCTATACCATCAAGCTCATCCAGGATCTCCATCAGGACGATTTGTATCTGAGTGCAATGAGAAGCTCAGTGCTTTGGATGAACTCATGGTACTA